ACTTGAAAAATCTTAGTAAATTTTGGATTTACCTAGATTTACTATGTACATCTAGGATTTACTATTAGTGGTTCTTGAAAAAGTGACGCTAACTTGGTAAACCCTGAATTTATCAACTATATCATGGATTTATCATTAAAAATTTTATTGTTCTTTTTCAAGTGATTTTTATTTGGTAAATTCAAAATTTACCATGTATCTCCGGGTTTACTATTAGAATTTTTACTGTTTTTGAAAAAGTGATGCTAACTTGGTAAATCTTAGATTTACTAAGCATATACAGGATTTACCATAAAAATTTATAATATTCTTTTTTAAGTGATATTCTAACTTGGTAAATATTAGATTTACCGTGTATATTCAGGATTTACCGTGTATATTGAGGGTTTACCATGTATATCTAGGTTTTACTAGTAGAATTTATACAATTTTTAAAAAAGTGATGCTAACTTAATAAATTTAAGATTTACTGAGTATAACTAGGTGTAACGCCATCCAGAATTAAACATGTTTAATTATGTTAATTGTGTATATTAGTGTACCTAAAATTGATTTTTTCTAATTAATCTTGCGATTAAAGATACGTTTCGTTGATGGATTCAGAATCATAATTCAGAACTATTCTCGATTTACGTGTATTTTTTGTGAGAGAAAATACTGTAGCGAACCACAAACTATGATTTGAACAATGTCACGAATCCTTGAACCAAACACACTCAATTTTTGAGTTATTTTAAGGACTTATAAATTACTTTCAGTTTTTTAATTTTCACCCCAAAAGTTTTTTAAAATACACTTAATTTTAATGTTTTTTTCTTTTTTTTCCTTCTTTTTCCTTTTCTTTTCTTTCTTTTCTTTTTTTCTTTTTCCCCTCCCCTTCCTTCCCGTCGGTTCCCCAGACCCACACACCTACTCTCTCTTTCTCTTCCTTTCTTTCTTTCTTTTCCTTCTTTCCTTTCTTCTTCTTCCACAGCAACTCCCTCTCTCTCTTTCTTCCTTCACCACCGGCCACCATTCCCTCCCTCTCTCCGGCCACCTCTCTCTCTTTGGGTCTCTCTCTCTTCTCTCTCTTTCTTTTCTCTCTCCTGTGGCCGGTTCAGCCGAAACAACAAGCAAAAAGAAAAGAGAGAAAACGGGAGAAATAGAGGGAGCAAGGCTCCATCAACTAATTTGAGGTAAAACTCCTTGAAACCCACTCTTTGATTTGAATTTTAAACTTGAGAAAGTTTAATTTTGGTTGGATTTGAATAATTTTGAGTTAGGGTTTGGATTTGAAAAATTGTTGTTAGAATTGAATTAAATTTGGGGGTTTTCAGTTATTGGACTTGTTGAATTGATTGGAAACTAGTTTTGATGATTTCAGGAGAATTTATTTTGAAACTGAACTTGAATTGCAGGTTTGGCATTTTTTCTATTTACGCCGGCACGCTGCCGAAATTTCTTTAAAAACTTGTTTTTTAAGTTGAAATTAAATAGGAAACCAAATCCATGAATTGGATTTCAATTTAAAAAGAACCCCTAAACTGAATTATAAAATCGTTTGTGAAACTTGGATTTGAGTCAAAGCACACTAATAGGAAACAATTAAACATGATTGGGCTTAATTCGTTTTAGGAATGAGAAATATATCTTAAGACATTGCTTTTGTGATAAAGCTAGTGGAGAAGATCGAGTATTAAAGCTTTAAGGAAAGCGGAGGCTAGGAGAACGAAAGGCTAGCCTAGGTTTGGTATCCGAGAGGTAGGATATTCTTGTCCATATCCTTGTTAGCCTCACTTTAAATGATTTTGGCGAATGAAAATGTTTTAAAACAAAACATGTTGAAAGAAAATGATTTTAAAGGAAATAGCATGAATAATGCTATTAAGTTTTCCAATGATTTTCGAAATGAGATTTTAAAAGTGTCATTTCTTAAAATGAAATATTTTAAGAAATGATAAAACACATGGTGGCCTTAGAGGTCGGGATATGGGAATCGTATCCTTAGGGGCAGGACACGAAACCCGTACGGATCCACTTCTTACTTAGTGGTGTTATGGCTCTGTACATTTTCATTATACATATATTTTACCACTACTATGTGAGTATTTCTTTTTTTCAAAAAAAAAAGGAATGATCGGTTCTGGGTGTATGTCTTCGGACCTTGAGTACCTTTATTTACAATGTTTTATAAAATTGTATGATATGTTCCGGGTGTATGTCTTCGGACCATGAGTACCTTTATTTACAATGTTTTATAAAATTATATGATTGATTCTGGGTGTATGTCTTCGGACCGTGAGTACTTCTATTTATAATGTTTTATAAAATTATATCATACTGGGCCTTCCGCTCTCTTTTATTATGTTTTCAATGTTTTAAACCCCTCCTTCAGAGTTAGCGGTTTAGATTTACAACGTGATAAGTGGATGTCAATGGATTGAAGGCGCGAGATTCGAAGCGGTACGTTTGTTTCAGATTTACAGTTTTAATTCTGAGATGTATTGTATTTCTGTATATAAATTCTATTGGTCGACATTGTCCCAGAGATGTATTATTTTCCTTGGACTTTATGGATTGTTTTAATTATTATTTGTAAAAGAAAGTCTACGGAGCAAACTATATTGATATTTATGTATTTATTTGTGTGCTTTTTGTTAAACAATCCAGTTTAATTGAGTTAAATTTTAAATTAAACCCCAATAATCACGGTCTCATCTTTGGGGTCGTGACACTAGAATTTATGATTAAAATTTGTAGTGTAGTGTTCTTTTTCGAGTGATCCCAACTTATATAAATCCTGAATATATATGGATTTATTAAAGAAAAGGAGAAGAATAATAAAAAAAAGAGTAAATTTAGAAAATTAAAAATTAAAAACATAAAATGTCTATTAATTTTTATACATTAACAAATTGACTATTTATTTCTATATGTTTTAAATGTAAGCTTATTTTCTACAAATTCCCAAAAAAAAAAAAACACACACACACACACAAAAAAGAAAAAATGGGAAAGTAGGCCACACCATGGTAAAAATGGGAAAGTAGGCCACACCATGGTAAAAATGGGAAAGTAGGCCACACCATGGTACCCATATAACCATATTGGTCTTAAGTTGGTGTCACGAACGTATGAGCTGTAAAATATCATAGTACCATGAAAAGATGATACATTAAGAGGCGTTTGATATGTAGTAATAGATAAAAATTATATTATTGAGAAAGTGATAAAAGATAATATAATTCTTAAAAAAATATGTATTATCACGTTTAATTATACATGAAAATCTTTTCTTATATTCTCTGAAAAATTATTTTACTCTATTTAGTTGGTACAAAATAATGTAATGTATTTCTTCTTAACAATATTTAATTTAAAATATTTTAAAATTCTTAAAAAAATACAAAAAATCTTTTTAGTTTAAGGAATAAATTTATAAGCTACTCTTAAAAAAAAAAAGCTTAATAAATTTTTAAAAATTAAAATTTAAGTAAGAATAAAAAAAATAACAAAAAATCTTTTTAGTTTAAGGAATAAATTTATAAGCTACTCTTAAAAAAAAAGCTTAATAAATTTTTAAAAATTAAAATTTAAGTAAGAATAAAAAAATATTAAGTTAAATTTTTTTAAAAAATAATCATATTCTTCTCCGATCCTTCCTTTCCCGATCTCTCTCTCTCTCCTTTCAATCTCAAACCAAATTTGATAAGCAAAATCTCAAACAAAAATCGTCATCTTCCTGATCCTTCCTTTCCCTCTCTCTTTCTACCTTCAATCTCAAACCAAATATGATAAGCAAAATCTCAAAGATCTGAACACTTTGACCGAGACAAGGGCAGCGTTGCAACCGAGGTCGTCGAGGAGGTTGGCTTTCCAGCCTCAATTGAGGGAGGGTTGCGACGATGGGGACCAGCGACTTTAGGGGGCAACGACGGTGAGGGTGCCACGGTGAGGGCGCGCAACGATGGGGACCGCAATGGTGAGGGCCTGCGGAGGTGAGGAGTGGCGGTGGTGAGGCCGCGACGGTGGGAGCTGTGACGTTGGGGGGCTGTGCCGGTAGAGGCCTTCAGATTTCCAGTGGTGAGAAAAACAGTAGTGTGTTGGGCGTCCATGCTTTTGAGATCGATGGGAATTTGAATAACACATATTGGGTGATATTAAGATTATCCCATTAAATAAATGAATCTCATGGATTGATATTTTTAAGAATTTAAAATTATAATTCTTATACTAAATATGATAATGTGAGAAAATTTTTATTCTTATTCAAAGATTACCTATACTAAACATCTCTAATAAGAAAAATAAAATTTATAAAGATGAAAATGTGAAAAGTAATAATAAAATCTTAAATAAGTGATGTCGTGTGTTTTTTATATTTTTTATTCTTTTTTATTTTCATTTTTTACTATCGTTTTAATAAACTTATTGCAATCTTTATTTTTATTTTTCTCTATTTCGATCTCCACCAAGAAATAAAAAGAAAGCTAAATTAGCGAATCTTGAAAAATTAAGGTGTGTTCATTGTCTTAACTCACTCAGGAATTAAGTACTCGAGTCAGTCTTTTAGGCAAAGTTAATGTTCGCCGCGTACTCAAACCAGACTCAGAAATTTACTCGAGTCAACTACCCATTTCTCGAGTTTACCCTCCCCCGTCTCCGCTAGCGTGCATATTCCTTTGCGTGCGAACAGGGCAAGAACATATGGAAGAGAACCACGAAGAACAGGAAAACTGTGACGGTGTAAATCCATTGGAGGTAATCTAGCTTCTTGAAGAGGAAGAACTGTGAGAATCTCAATCTGTCTCTGCAAAAATGGGTTTCAGTCACTCTAACCGGTAAACGACGCTGACCGGTAAACTTGGGTTTCTGTAAAAAGAGACCGATAAATGGGTTTATGCAAAAATGGGGTTTTTTTAGCTTATTCCCATAAAAAAAAGGGGGAAAATGGAGTTTTGATTGAATTTTGATAGTTCTTTCATATGGGTTTATGCAAAAATGGGGTTTTTTTAGCTTATTCCCATAAAAAAAAAAGGGGGAAAATGGAGTTTTGATTGAATTTTGATAGTTCTTTCATGGGTCAGATAGAGTTGTTTCAGTATTTTTTCTTTGAATTTATCAGTCTCTCTCTCTCAGTTTGCTTGTGAACAGAGTAAAAGGGAGGTCAGAGAGAGTTGGGGAGGTAAGAGAAGAGTAGAAGAACAATTGACGTGGATCTTGAAAAAGATTTATTGAGATTTTATTATCAATATAATTGGATGAACCCGAAATTCAAATCCGTCTCCATCAAAACCCTAATTCACGAGCTTCCCCAATCCTTCGTCGATTACCTTCTCGACGATTCTGGACCTTTCCTTCTTCCGATTTCCGTCACCAACGACGATGCTCTCCCCAACCGAATCCACAATCTAGATGAAGAAGACGATTACCAGGTCCCGGAAGATTCCGACGCCGACAAGTCGGAACAGCCGGGGCCGCCGCTATCGTTTCCGGAGCTTGAATTGGCCGTCAAGGCGTCGATCGAAACCCTAGGCGGCGCGGTCTTCCCTAAGCTGAACTGGAGCGCGCCGAAGGATTCGTCGTTGATCAGCGCCATCGGAACCTTTAAATGCACGTCGTTCGTCGAGATCGTGCTCTTGCTCCGGTCGTCGGACTCGCTCGTCCGTGACCTCTGCCACGCCTACGATTCCTGCGCCGACAAGGCCTCCACGCGGCCGCCGCGATTCTTCCCCGCGCTTCGCAAGTGGTACCATTCGCTCCGGCCAGACATGGAGTTCCGCTGCTTTGTCAAGAATCGGAATTTGATCGGAATTTCCCAGCGCGAGGTGACCACATTCTACCCCGCGCTGGTCGAGAAGAAAGATGAGATTAGGGCTCTGGTTCGGAGATTCTTTGCCGAGAATGTGAGGGAGAGATTCGAATCGGTGAATTACACGTTCGACGTGTACGTGACCGGAGATGAGAAAGTGAAGGTCGTGGATTTTAATCCGTGGTGCGGGTTTACTCTGCCATTGATGTTAACATGGGAAGAACTGGAGCAGAGTTTTGGAGAAGAAGTGGAAATGAGGATTGTGGAGAGTCGGCGTGAGGTTCGGCCAGCATTGAAGACGGCGATGCCGTACGATTACTTGGATACGAGCCCTGGAAGTGGGATAGAATGCCGTGTGACGTTTGGTTATGGATTTAGAATTGAGAATTATTTTTTATTTATGTATTTTTTTAAGAAAAAATAGTGTAGCGAATATAGGTTAAATTTATAAGGTTTGTTCTTTTGGAGTTTAACTTGAGTATAATTTTTGAGTTAAATTTGAGTTATAACTTGAGTTGAACTTGTAATTTGAATTTGTGTTTAGTTGTGTACATTTAAAGTTATGGTTTGAGATAAAAATCTTTTTGAGTTTGTGTTTGAGTGAGTCAAAACTTGAATTTGTATTTAGATAGTATTTTAATAAAAACTCAATGTTGATGAAACATTTTAATAGGGTATATGGGTCGGGTTTTATTCGTCTTTTCGTTGTCAACGCATAGAAAAAAAAAATCATCTCAATCATAATTAAAACGAAAAAGTTATAACATTTTTAAGAATAAAAAAAATATTGTTCATTAATTTGAATTCAAGTTTCTAAACTCGAGTTGAAGAGAAAACTTGAACTCGAGTTTTAGTCCTAAACTCAAGTTTGAACTCAAGTTTAAACTCGAGTTTAAATTTAAAAGAATATGAACTCGAATAAAGTTATAATTTGAGTTGATTTTTTTTGAGTTTTTCACTCAAAAGAACAAGTATATTTTTCTTCAATCATGCTATGATTCTGGTTATATATATATATATATATTAAATTTGATAAAATGATTCAATTTAATTTTAAACTTTTTTTCTTAGCGATCAACAATCCAAACTTATAGTTTTTGACATTTTTAACTCTTGTTAAAATTTATTAAAACTTCGATCGTTTTTTACACCTAACTTGCGAATGATAGCCTAATAAGGATATTGATTCTTATTTTTGTTTAGTTTTAATACAAATACATTTAAAAACTTGAACTTAATTAGTTTATAACGTCAACTTTAATTTAAATTTTAACATAAAATTTTATTAATACCAAATAAAAATATCATCAATGCGGTTATTAGGCAGTTATTTGTAAATTTGGCATAAAAACCCATCAAAAGTTTAATGAATTTGAGCAACAATGACTAAAAGTGTTAAAAATTAAAAGTTTTAAGGGTTAATTGTCAAGAAAAAAATTTAAGAATTAAATTGTTAAATTTAAAAAGTTCAAAGAGTGTTGCGTTCATACAAAATAACATTTTATTTTATCTTTTACTTATGATATGTTAAGGAGTGATTGAAATAAGAGATTTTAACTCGGTGAATTTAATTTGAGAGTAAATATTGTAAAATGAAAAGTTTAAATTGTGATTCAAGTTGGACTTTAATGACATTAGTAGTCTCGTACCACAAAACAACAATATTGAACTCTTGCAAAACTTGATTCGGCTATTATTCTGCTTTTAATAATACTATAAATCCAATCGGACTTTCAAAAAAATAAATCCGATAGGAAATCCAAATCCAATGCTACATCAGTCCCCGCATTATCTCACGCATCAATGCGGCAATGTCAACTTAAAAAAAAAAAAAAAAAAAAGGAACGATGACACCGAATTTCTTGCGTTTATTCAATGCAATATTCATTAATATATAAATATATATTTTTATGCTAATCAATAATATGTACTTAACTTATTTCCCTTTGTTTTCCTCACCATACAAAACTGACCTTTGTGTTTTTCTAATCACAAAAATCCACCTTTAATTCAAATTGCAAAATTGTGCGATAAAATACAATTAAACTTTGTAAACGGCATGATGGATGTTTTTTTTTTATTTTCCCTTTCTGGAAATAAACTACATGATGTTGCTTAAAGGGAGACATTCCAAAGACAAATAATTTCGATCTTCAAGAATAGTCAAACTTAAATTTTTTGGAAGTATTATTTTTGACAATACTCTACAAAGCTGTTCTTAAAACATAGGGCAAATAAATATTTCATATAATCAATGTTGAGCAAATACCAAATATCTAATATGAACTTTTTGCGCGATTAAAAAAAAAAAAAAAAACATGATAGTGAATTTTACTTGGTTAGAAAAACATCACTGAAAAATTTCTCAAGAACAATCTTATCATTTTGAAAACACCTGACAGATTATAACATTTAGATTAAATGAATAAAGCCAGAATTGTTCTTACCTGTATCATTGATATCCTACTTGCTGTAAATTATCTAAAAGTTCAAAATGAAAGCATATTCATTTGGTTCCAAAGTACACACATCAAACATCAATATACAAAACACATACACCTCTAAGTTCCATTATCGGAAAACTGTTTCTTAAGACTCCACGCTTTCCAACTTCCATTGAAATCTTACGTAATGGGACGGAACAAAGAATTAACAAATGAACAATAAACTTCCAAGTACGAAGAGTGTCAGTGTAACCTGGTCAAGTCTTCTACTCTCTTGCAAAGCTCCTCCACTGAAACACCCATTTGTTTCGCGATTTCATCCATCTTGCTTCTGTTGAGATCAAGGAACGATTCGATAAGATCTCCATCCAAGAAATTTTTGGCTTCCACAGTTTTCTTCTCGTTGTTGAATGATCTCCAATGCTCATGGCTTAGACCTCCGACGCCCTTGATCACTTTCCTCAAGCTTGTCTGGAGCTTTTCCAGGAATACATATTGTTCGTGAGGAAGTGAAGCAATGACCCCGATTACACCATTGACAGAACCGAAAATGACGGTTGGAATCTGGCCCACATCAGAATCTGGCAACCTCATGACAAGAGAGCCGTGGCGGAAACGGTTGATAAACTCTCCGAGGTGATACTCGCCAACCACGTCAAGTCGGCCCCGTTCCTCGTCAGTGGCACCTTCACTGTTCTTCCGTACAGTGAAGATGTTGAAGCTGTTTTCAGCACCAAGGTAAACATCATCATCTAGAATCTCAACAGCTGACATCCAGTTTGCATTATAGTCCCGAGCTCGTTCCTCAATGGCCCCTTCCTCGTGCTGAATACAAGTGGAAAAGTGCATTCCAATCATCACATACAAGGCATTAAATAGCATAATTACTTCTTGGTAAAGGGAGAAACATAAAAAAACTATTGCTCGCAATCACTATCACCTCTACCATAGATTCTAGCAACAAAATTCTCCTTTCTATTCCAACCTTGAGATATCATGGCAAGAGGGACCGAGGACTAAGGAATTAAATTTTGGGAGCATAAATGACGGTGTATTAGTTACCTTGTAGATTAACAAGGAGATAGACTTCATCAAATCACCAACAACGATGAAATCACCACGAGTCTGGACATAGAGGGCAAGTATATGCCCGTGATGACCACATTCGGACTGTAACTCCCGAGAACCATCATCCCGGAGCATCCACTTGTATAACTGTATCTTTTGATTAATAGCAGCAAGTAATTTTCCATTGAAGGCATTTAAAGAGTAAACGGCCCCCTTAGTTTCCTTCTCAGCAATAAGCTGCAACTTTCCATCTTCCACCATGAACACCAGAATTCGGCCCTGCAAAAATTCATGAAGAAACATAAAATTTAATTTCTTCTGCCAAAACTGAATATCAGAGAATTGCCACTTCAAGAGATATATATTTGAAATTGATGGTCAGTGAGAAAAACATTAAAGAAAAGAAGAAACATAAACATCTTGCCTTGGTTGGCTCGCTTTCCTCTGGCAGAACGTATGCAGTTCCAACACAGTAGTATACACTACTGTCATCTGAGAAAGAGCAGCTGAGTATGGAGCAACCGTACTCAAAAGTATCAAGTGGATAGGTCGATATGAAGTCAAAGGTTTGATCATCTAATAGGCGAATCACATGCATTTCCGACTCATCACCACCGGACTGATTATATTTTACGCTGCAGATGGCAAAGGTCCTAGATTGCTCCTGATGACATATACGGCGTGGTTGCTCCCCTAGCAGAATGGAACGGATGTGGAGCTTCTGAATATCATCAATGGTTCCAATTGTAAGTTCACCTTCTTTTGCAATTGCAAGGCTGCAGACAGATCGGTAAAAAAAGATATTAATTGGTCTCATGTATATTAATTGGTCTCATGTATTATACTATATACTATAGGAGATAGTCCTTTTACTTTACTGTTCCTTGAACAGTGTCCGGTCTTTTTTGTCCCTCAACTTTCAAAAAATTCCATGTGTCTTCTCACTTTTGCTTTTACCGTTTTGCACTCAGCTTCTTATTCCTTCATTTGCTTTTTGTTTGGGCATTTTGGTTATTTCTGTGGTATATACTAAATGCCTTAGAAAACTTCTCGGAGAAGCTTTGTTAACCTTTTTCTTTCCTTTTTGCCCCTCTTCTTTTTTGTTTACTACTCATTTAGCAAATTGAAGTGAGAAAGTGTACTTTGAATAGTGCACTTTTAACCAAAATGATATAGTTTTGGTTGAAAGTGTACAACTTTCCCACTTTTTTTTAAAGGACGTTTAGTTTATGTATTCAGCATCATGATTTAGAACTATTCTCGTTGTGAGAAAACACTGTAGAGAACCATGAATCATAATTCAGAATCAGGAACGAATATAGGAAACAAACGTCCCCTTAGTCTTTTATTTTAGGTTTTTTTTTTTTTTTTTTCTTACTTTTCATCCTAAAACTCATTTGTTTTTTTTATTTTAGTCCTTTTAACTTTTTCTTTTTTTTCTTTTTTTTCCTAAAATTTTATTTTCATTTTCATTTTGGTTCCTTTTGCCTTAAAATTTATTCATTTTTCCCTTTTGGTTTTTTATTGACAATGTTTATTTGCTTCTTGCCCTAAAACTTTTTTTACCCTAAAATTTATTTATTTCTTCATTTTAGTCCTATTTTATTTTTTTTTACTTTTTGTCCTGAAATTTTTCCCCCTTTTTTGTTCCTTTTGTCCTAAAACTTATTTATTTATTTATTTTAGTCCTTTTTTTACCTCTTTTATTTTTTACCTGAAACTTTTTTTTTTCATTTTGGCTCCTTTTACCTTAAAACTTATTTATTTCTCCATTTTGTCCATTTTTGACTCTTTTTTTCCTAATTTTTTTTTTGGTTTTGGTTCCTTTTACTCTAAAATTTAGTTATTTCTTCATTTTTGTCTTTTTTGACCCTTTTTTTTTTATTTTTTCCCTAAAAACTTTATTTTTTCACTTTGGTTCCTTTTGTCCTAAAACAATATTTATTTATTCATTTTAGTCCTTTTTTTTACTTTACCTTGGCTTCTTGCCCTAAAACTTATTTTTTTTCTTATTTTGGCTCCTCATTGAGATTTTATATTAGATTTTATATGTTTTGAATAATAACATAACAATTAGTTAATTACAACTTAACACATATTACTTTCCACGTGCTTTTCAACTAGATGTAGAACTAAGATAGGCTGGATGCAGCCAATCTTGTACGTATCTCACATGGCTAAAGAAAAGTACCTGTCTGGAAAAGCTGCAGTGTTGAAAGGGCACATGTGGCTGACTTCTTTCAGATTTACATTGCTATAAAGCAGTTTCTTATTGCTACTATAAATGACTGTTGGCCTATCCGATGCAGCGAATACATATGTAGTATTCTTTGATGAGAAAGTGCGGAGTGTTATAGGCTGAGTCCCCAGAGAAATCTTTTTCCTATCTGTCAACTCACCAGTAGTTGTGTTCAACAGAAAGTTCAATAGGTGTCCATCTCCAAGGGCACACAACAAGTAGGATATCTGAAAAGGAATATATAATAATGAGGGGTAGGAATGAAAGAGATACTTAAAGAGAAGCTTACAGACTGAAGAACACAATTAAAACTTTCCAAACTAAAACAAAGAAAGCGGCTGTGTAAATACATCATCTATGCACTGCAAAAGTCATTTTGATGGGCCAATTATTGTTAGCCAAAACTTTTAAAAATGAAAAATTAACTACTTCGAAGGGTCTAGACAGTAATCAGATCTGTGTCTGGCAAGTAACACACTAGCACTTCTGCGTAGTGTTAGCAACGGCAGAATATAAGAAACTCTCGCGTATATCAACACCCAAAATAACATGAGATAGAAAGATTGTGAAGAAAAAGCTTAAGCACAAGCATACCCCTTCAAAGGCACAGAGGAGAACAGAACGGGGAATAATTTCTCCTCCTAAAGGCTCCTTTGTAATAAGATTCAGGTCAGGCAATGAAAATAACCTGACACTTATATCCGTCCACATCCCAACAACAGCTAGCTGGCTGTAGCTTGGATTTTCTCCGATTGGATTTATGTCAAGACATGAGACCTCATACTCCAACTGTGAGTGTTTCACCTCTGTCAATACACCATCACCAATTTCTAAATATACTAAATGACCCCCTCCAGTGGCCAATAAAACCTGTCATAACAAAATTAAATTAGAGAAAACAAAAAAGCATCAATCAGCTAACCCCCAACAAACCTATGCAGATGATAGTTCCAACAAATTCCCGAAGCATGTTGAGCTGGAAGTCAGGAATAATACCTGGGTAGCATTAGCAGTAGCAACATTTATAGAATATCCAGCTGGAGCATTCCATTCATTTCTTAGTTCTCTAGTAATAGAGCTAACGAGTCTCACAGAGCTTGAAGTGACCTGTCATGTCGGTTAATTAGCAAGCAAATACTAGACCATATGGAAAGATCGTCTAAGCATTACAACAAAAATCTTTAAAAGGAAAAAAGAAGTCTAAGGAGACAAGTGACCTCAACTTAAGCAAGCTTTATAAAGTGAGACAAAGACGAAAGAGTAACCTTACTTGTACAAGTTGATTGTAAACGGCATCATGGCAAAACAAAGTCTGCACTTCAGAACAGAAACCTTCTATCTCAGTTTCTTCCAACTCATCTTCCATGTTCATTGCTAAAATTCTTGTCTCGCTGATGAAGCTTACAACTAGAAATGTATCAAATGCATCCTCAGTGGATGATCTTAGCGACCACATTCCCTTAATACCCTGAAGTTCCACTGATGCCTAAAACATCATATAAAGGGGTTACTTGGAGGAAAATGATACATAAATTTGATAATCAAAAAAAGCTTTTAAAGATATAGGGAAAAAAAGGAAGGAAAAAAAGATTGCTTATATAGAGTCATAGACTAAACCTGTTCATTGATTCCTATTCCATTTCGGACCACACGAAGAGAGCCATCCTTGTAAGCTCCAGAGCAAGTTACGACCTGGCCTTGGCCTTGCCTCTCAAGATCAACCACACAAAAGTCAACTATAGGCCCCAAATTGACATACCTTTCCAGAACCTCCACATATGAACCTTTTGCATCGGGGTGCATATTGAGCTTTATAAGCTGTATTTTGCATCAATACAAAGTGTTAATATTCCTTACTACAAAAGAATTTTAACTCTATATAATCAAATTTCACAAGGCAACCTGTCATAGAGCCATCTAAATCACACACTACTGCATATAGAGCTTTATGGCATTTTCAATAATTTGACCATGAAAAACTTAGAGGAGAGTTTTAGGACAGTTTAAAAACGTAAGGCATACTTTTTGGATCATCAAAAATAGAAGAGGCAAACATGATATTTAACTAAAACTCCAGGGGTACTTTCTAGATTTTCTCGTTTTAGAGTAGGAATTCAAGGCTAACAAAGGACACATTAGCTTTTCAATCCATTTTCTTAAGAAACAAACAATTATGCCACAGTAGTTCTGAGCGCTTCACCTGTGAATCTCCATAGCTTGATCCAATATAGACAACTGCATTATCAAGGTATGATATGGTTGATGCAATTGATGTTTCGCCCAAGAGCTCAATTTTGAGTCCAGTCACCCTACAAGAACATCTAAACCCTGAGAAGATCGTATCATCAAGAGGGGCCTCAACCTTTAAAGTTAAACTACATCTGGGCTCAAGTGATTTAGGGTGAGTATACTCACTTTTCTTTCTCGTGGGTGATAACAAGAAGCTGTAGTAGCCCATTGTAATCACCAAGTAAATACCTCGAACCATCGGAATCAACTCTTCCATAGGCTCTTGTGATGGACTAGAAGTTCAGAAATATAGGTCATAAAAACAAAATAACAAAGTACAAAGTTAGCAATGATATGCGCTCACAAAATTAGCAGAATATCTATGACCTACAGGTTTGATTGGGATTGCTTTAAATGCATTGGCACTGCAATAGACTATTGTTTCTTCTCCAATAATAAGGACGCCGCATAGAGGTGGAGGAACTGGAATTAGCAAAGCAGCCCCATTGTCAAGATTGTTTTGAGACCAAGGGCCCTCAACAAAATCTTTATCCTTAAGAGAAACCTCATACGTTTTGACATGACGAGCATCTTTGTTATCCTGCAATCAAAACAGGAGCATGACCATCAAAAGCAATGATAAAAAACAAGCAATTCTGTATTACTACCACATTTGATATTTCCGATGTGAAAAATTACAGGTTTGACAAGATAAAATGTTTCCGATCATCTTCATGGCATCTACATCCACATTATTGTATATTAGAATCTTAATCATTGTATTATGTTGTACAAGTATCATTGTATTTATGTCGTGATAATGGTTTAAAGGAATAATAAATATTTAATTGTTTCAAGTCTAAACAGAACGTATTTGAAAGTTTTAGTGTCTGTTGCTATCCCTTGTGATAAACTGCTACTCCTTGAGGCCACTCCCAAATATGCACATGGTTTCTGCGAGGAACTCATTGAACCTAGCGTGATACGTTTTGCATATAGGAACCTTTCCCATATTTTTCCATCTTCAACAGGGATTTTTTTTTTCTTTTTTTTTTTATAGGAAACGAAGAAAACTTCATTAATGAGGAAAACTTTACAGAAGTTTTTGGACAGATGAGAGATCCATCCTGGAAGGGGTAAAACGAAAAAATAAAAAAAAAAAAAAAAAAAAAAAAAAAAAAAAAAAAAAAAGGGAAAAAGACTAGGTGGCCACACTGATACTCAGCCACAACGCAAAAATTACAGACCAAAGATCTCCTATATCAGCCTACGCCAAAATATCTTCCCAACTGAGCAATATCAAGGATAATGGAAAATCCTTCAAGGATGTATCTGTAGAAGCCCGGAGAGATGCAAGAAATTTTGCCTTCTCAAATAAATCCTCAACAAACATCTCCTCCTCTTCAAAAAAAAAAAAAAAAAAATCTGATTTCTCTCTAGCCAAACCACCCAAAGAAATAGTTAGACTGTCCATCTTCAACAGGGATGAACATTGTAATTACGACATTTTCAGGTATGTTAGGTGCACATAAAAACCTACTATCATCAACATCATAAAGACTTTGCCTAGTTGTGCACAAAATACATTCAATTCCAGGCAATACTAACAATTCTATGAATATTGATGCAAGAGTGAAAACCATGACATGAATAAAAGTTTCGAATAATGAACCTGGTAAAGAACTACAATTGTAGGTTTCGAACAACCATAAAGAAACTTTATGTCCAAAACTTGAAGTTCCTCAAGCCTGAAAAGCAAACAGTGAGTTAGAGTTGCAGGTTCAATAAAAAAATAGAATAATTTGATTAACATACGAGAGAGGAAAAGGGGGAAAAAAAAAAGGGAAAAAAAAACAAAGAAGCATTTCATGAACAAGATAGCAGCAGGGCAACTGCACAGCACACACCAGCACAACATCACAAAATTATAAAATGACTTCAGTTAATGAGCATATTCATGCATGTTCTGACCAATCGTTAATTTACATAAAGAAGTAATTAACTGCGGCAAAATAGGGAATTATCTGAATTGAATAGATAAATAGCGTGTTATAATGCCCAGAATATATGCACGGGTAGAATACAAGAAAAGGGAAACGTTCTCTAATAAACAAACCCCAACAATTCAGAGATTATATTAACAGCTAGCTTATCGGTACATTTAGTTTGAAACATCTAAAGTTTCCTAAAATAACCAAAAAATCTCATGTGTGATTCTCAACACTCCCTCTCTAGCTGGTGTGTATATGTTGCCCATTCCAAGCTTAAAGACTAATGCTTGAGCCACACAGCCAGTAAGTCCCTTGGTGAAGACATCTGCAAGTTAACTGCTTGTGGAAACATCTGGTGTACAGATTAGGCACTACTAAGTTTCTCCTTAATAAAATGTCTATAAACTTCAATGTGCTTGGTTCGGTCATGCTAAACAAGTCACAATACAATCTTATAGAAGCTTCCATTTGACTTTCAAGTACTCTAAGATTATCTTTATCTATAATCTATAATAATTCAAAATTCCAAGTGCCATGACCTGAACTAATCTTGCAATCACACTTTGCTTCTTGCTCCCCCAAGTGCCCAAGTTTCCTCAAAGGACAGTGCAGTAACTGCATGTTGATCTTCTATCTACCACTGACCCAACATAGTCTGCATCTGAGTGAGCTTCCATTGTCAACACATTTCCTTCTCTTGAACAAAGTTCCTTTTCCAAGAGAGGCTTTGAGATAGTGAAGAATCCGATGGACAGCTTGTACATGTATCTCTTAAGGACTGCATGAATTGACTAACTATGCAGATTGCATTTCTAAAATCTGGTAATGGTATGTGAAAGGTAAAATTAACTTTCCTACTAGTCTATGAAAGACTCCTCGATCTACTGCTACATTTTCATTGGCTTCTCCAAGTCAGTGTTGGGCTGGCCTCAATTGGAGTGTCAGCTAGTTTGCAACCAAAATTTCGCACTATCTTTTAACAAGTCAAGCACATAATTTTGTTAAGACACAAAGATTCCCAACTACAAATAGACAGCTTCGATTTGTAGGTGTTGAAGACCTAGGGTTTTTTAAAGTTAGGAAATTACCTCTTAAGGAGATTATCATTCTAAAAGTTAGGAGTTATCTCTTCCTTGATTCTGTTTGTAAATTTAGAAATCCGGATAGAATGTTTGATTAGGTCCGGATAAGGATGACTTGGAATCCAATTAGGATTTCATGATTAGGTTAGATTTTCTAAGTTAGTTTTATGCCAATAAATAGCTTCTAAATTCCGCATATTAATAATAAGAAAGTAAGTTCTTTTTCTTCTAAAAAACTACATGGTATCAGAGCTAGCTCTTAAGTTTTAATGGCAAAGACTGCCATGACCGAGCGAGTGGGACCTCTGCTTCTTCAAGGGATTCCGCATAGAATGAGCAGTCTAGAACCACTGCCATGACCAGCGGCACAGATCCATTAGCAGCATATGTAAATCCTTCTCTTTAGATCACTATTCACAAATTAAATGGCAAGAATTACCTGGAGTGGGCTCAGTCCATGAAGCTCGCAATTGATGGAAGGGGAAAACTTGGCCATTTAACCGGAGAGGTAAAAACACCAGCAGTGGGTGATCCGAATATGAAGGTATGGAGATCCGAGAACTCTTTGATAATGGCATGGCTCATCAACTCAATGGAGCCGGCTATTGAGAAACCCCATCTATTCTTACCAACCGCCAGAGATATGTGGGAAGCTGTACGTGAGATGTACTTAGACCTGGAAAACTCATCACAAATCTTCGAACTAAAGACGAAGCTGTGGCAATCCAGGCAAGGAGATCGAGACGTCACAACATACTGCAATGAGATGGTGACTTTATGGCAAGAATTGGATTTGTGTTATGAAGATGAATGGGATTGCCCTACTGATAGTGTGCGGCATAAAAAAAAGAGAAGAGAATGATCGAGTTTACATGTTTCTAGCAGGACTCAATCAAGAATTAGATGAAATAAGAGGAAGGGTCTTAGGAAAAAAACCCTTACCATCAATCAGAGAAGTGTTTTCAAAAGTTAGGAGAGAGGAGGCTAGGCGAAGAGCGATGCTAAAAACCCAAGAACCGAAGCTGAATCCTGAAGCAGAAAGTTCGGCTCTAGTCTCTAGAGGATTTGATCCAGAGGAAGAAAAGAAAAAGAAACCATGGTGTGATCACTGCAAAAAACCATGGCATACAAAGGAAACATGCTGGAAACTTCATGGCAAACCGAAGAATTTAAAAAGAAGAATGGAGGTGATGACAAATCATTCCAAACCGTGGGTGAGGATTCTCAAAGGCAGCAAATCAACTCGGAAATAACTCAGTTCACAAAGGAACAACTAGACCATCTGTACAAACTCTTTCAATCTCCACAATTTTCAAATTCTTCTTGTTCTTTGGCTCAAAAGGGTAATTATCTCATTACAGCTCTCCTAGTATAAAATCTAATATGTTTTGTCCATGGATTATTAACTCTGGAGCCACAGATCACATGACTGGCTCTTCAAAACTGTTTTCATCCTACAAACCGTGTGCAGGGAATAAAAGGATCAAAATTGCAGATGGATCCTTTTCAGCCATAGCTGGAATAGGATCAGTCAACGTTTCACCATCTCTCACACTTCATAATGTCCTCCATGTTCCAAATTTGTCTTGTAACTTATTGTCCATAAGCAAAATAACTCATGATCATAAGTGTCAAGCTAACTTCTATCCATCTTATTGTGAGTTTCAGGAACTAACCTCGGGGAGGACGATTGACAGTGCTAGAGAGATTGTTGGACTTTATTTCTTTGAAGATGGATCCAAATCAAGAAGACCGACACATAGTACTTGTCTTGAATCTATTTCTATTACTAGTAGAGATGAAATAATGATGTGGCATTATAGGTTAGATCACCCTAGTTTTCAATATTTAAAACATTTGTTTCCAAACTTATTTAGCAATAAAAATCCATCTTCATTTCAATGTGAATTTTGTGAATTAGCTATACATCATCGTACCACATTTTCATTACAACCATACAAGGCTTCAAAACCTTTTTCATTAATACATAGTGATGTATGAGGACCTTCATGGATCACAACACCATCGGGAAAGAGATGGTTTGTCACTTTCATAGATGATCACATAAGGGTAAGTTGGGTTTACTTACTAAAAGAAAAGTCAAATGTGGAGGTGTTCAAAAAATTTTACATAATGGTGATCACACAATTTCAAACACAAATTCAAGTTTTTCGAAGTGATAATGGAAAAGAGTATTTTAACAAGATTTTGGGAAAATTCTTCCTAGAAAAATGCATAGTTCACTAGAGCTTGTGTAATGACACCCCCAACAAAATGGAATTACTGAACAAAAGAATAAACACCTCCTAGAAGTAGCTAGAGCACTACATTTCACAAATAAGGTCCCGAAGTATCTTTGGGGGGAAGCTATCCTCACAGCTACCTACCTTATCAATAGGATGCCAACTAGGGTGTTGAAACTCAAAACACCATTACAGGTATTTTCAAGTTGCTATCCAACATCTAGGTTATCATCTACACTTCCTATAAAAATTTTTGGATGCACAGCCTTTGTACACATTCATGATCATAACCGGGGAAAACTTGACCCTAGAGCAAAAAAATGTGTTTTTGTAGGATATGCACCGATTCAAAAAGGTTATAAATGCTTTGATCCAATTTCTACGAAAATGTTTGTTACCATGGATGTAACCTTTTTTGAATCTAAACCTTTTTTTGTTTCTCATCTTCAGGGGGAGAGTACAAGTGAAGATGTAACCAAATTAGGAATTAATGATGTTTTTGATGTTTTTGAAATAGATTCAACACGTACTCCTAATATTGAGACTGAAAATTCGGATTCACATGTTACAAAACCGGAAAATATGGATGGAACAAATGATGTTTTATATTGAAAATTCCAGCAGTCTACTGCCATGTCAAAATCAGAATCTCAGTAGCTCAGAAAATGGGAACAAGACTGGTACTAAGAATATAAATCTCTTGGTCTATTCAAGGAGGAAACTGAATTCAAAGAAACAAGGTCCCGATCCTCTACAAGGCCGTGAGTCCGAACTGAAACCAGGTAACAATCAATCTGATTCTTTGTTAAATTCCAATCTCGAGCCCCTTGGCGATTCCATACAGTCTATCCCTAGTGCTAGTACTGAGTCATTTGATGATCTCAATATTCCTATTGCCACCCGCAAGGGTGTCCGGTCATGCACTAAACATCCCATGTCTAATTATGTTTCCTATAAGAATCTTTCTCCTTCATTTTTTTCATTTACCTCACATCTCACTCCTGTGGAAATTCCAAAGAGTGTACAAGAAGCTTTACAAGTTCCTGAGTGGAGGAAAGCTATTTCTGAAGAGAAGATGAAAGCACTTGAGAAGAATCACACATGGGAAGAAGCGGATCTGCTAAGAGGGAAGAAAACAGTTGGCTGCAAATGGGTGTTCACCATCACGTATTATTCTGATGGATCTCTCAAGAGGTATAAAGCACGTTTGGTGGCTAAAGGGTTTACTCAAACCTATGGTGTTGATTATCTCGAGACCTTTGCTCCGGTGGCAAAGCTGAATACCGTAAGAGTACTGCTTTCAATTGCAACAACTCTTGACTAGCCGCTTCAACAATTAGATGTGAAGAACGCATTTCTAAACGGAGAATTGGAAGAAGAAGTTTGTATGGATCCACCGCCTAGATTTGATAAGCACTTTGGTTCTAAGGTG